ACGGTTATATGCCCTTATATGATATTTTTAATCTATGCTCTGAACTGAGTTTGGCAGGTCTGCCATCAGGAGAAAGAAGGGGGCTACCCACAAGTAGTGTCACTGGAGATTGAATCCTGCATGTGAATACAATAAAGTGGCACTTTACAGATAATCAAATTACAAATAATAGTATAGGTATAATACGCCATTCAGCATAGTGATATAGAATCCACTGCAACCACATGACAGGCGCACAGTCGGATTTGCCGGCATATGCGCTAACCTTACCCCAACCCCCATTAAAACACGGACACCGGTTATACTGTTGGAAATAATTTGTCCACAGCTTTATTAAATTATTAATAAATAATTAAGGAATAACAAATGGGGTCATTGCCAACAAATCTTAATAATGTTAACCTCCCCCATATACATAACATACCCCTAGCAATGACCCCACAATAATAACAATAGATAACAATATAAATAACATGTTAACACAGAAACTGGCCGTCCAATTTGACCACATTTCCACCAGGTTAAATTGTAGGGGTGTACCGAGACACCGCTACCCACCATATCCATTGTAGGGGTGTACCAAGACACCGCTACCCACCGTATCCATTGTAGGGGTGTACCAAGACACCGCTACCCACCAGTTCCAGTGTAGGGTGTACCAAGACACCACCACACCCCCAGGTTCGGAGCCACCGACGGGCTCAAACCTACCAACCATGTGCAACACTGCCCAATCCACACTAAGCCTCAGGATGCCCACTTTCTCCTCCATCTACCCTCCGATTTAACCAGGCCATTCCCCGCCGCTGTGAAAAAACGGGAAATCAACTAACCTAACCAAATACAGGGAGGGTGGGAGGGACAACTGACAGGTAAGCTTAGGTTCAGTTAAAATGGCCACTTCACATAGTGGCTGGTATAAATACTCCCCTTATGGCTCCGCCCTACCCAGCATGCTAGCTGTCACTAAATTCCTGTGGCTGCTATGCCTACCTCCTGGCTCTGTCAAGGCCTATTCCTCTTAGCTGCGCTGATCCATGGGCTACATGACAGGCGCACAGTCGGATTTGCCGGCATATGCGCTAACCTTACCCCAACCCCCATTAAAACACGGACTCAGGTTATACTGTTGGAAATAATTTGTCCACAGCTTTATTAAATTATTAATAAATAATTAAGGAATAACAAATGGGGTCATTGCCAACAAATCTTAATAATGTTAACCTCCCCCATATACATAACATACCCCTAGCAATGACCCCACAATAATAACAATAGATAACAATATAAATAACATGTTAACACAGAAACTGGCCGTCCAATTTGACCACACTTCCACCAGGTTAAATTGTAGGGGTGTACCGAGACACCGCTACCCACCATATCCATTGTAGGGGTGTACCAAGACACCGCTACCCACCATATCCATTGTAGGGGTGTACCAAGACACAGCTACCCACCAGTTCCAGTGTAGGGTGTACCAAGACACCACCACACCCCCAGGTTCGGAGCCACCGACGGGCTCGAACCTACCAACCACGTGCAACACTGCCCAATCCACACTAAACCTCAGGATGCCCACTTTCCCCTCCATCTACCCTCCGATTTAACCAGGCCATTCCCCGCCACAGCTCAGGACTTGACACCTAAAGCTCCTGAGCGACCCCCACCACACCGGAATAAGGCCTGTTGAATGCCTTCCTGAAGGCCCAATTTAAACAGATCACACCTTACATCCGAAAATGTACCCCATCCCACCTGGAGTACCCAGGGAGCTTTCTTCCCAATTCGTTGTGTCTCACTGTTACGCCGCCCCCACCTCTGATAAATACTGCCATCAATTTTTTATTAAGTCGTCCTCGACACCGAGCTACCACGGCCGAGTACGTAGTATGTCTCCAATGTAACCAAGGAACCATCTCGGACCGCACCACCACCACACCCGTGGCCAGCTCCCATAGCTGGTCCACCTCCCTCTGCCTCCACCTGATCAATTCCTTTTCCGGGACCATGCCAATATCCAGAATGTCCTGGAAAGTACCCTTTGTTACCTCCCGGAAAAATTTCTCCCCTAATGTCTTGCCACCAAAATCCCTGAAAAGCAAAACCACTCCTGCTCCACCAATTTCAAAGGAAAGCCCAGTTACGTTTGAACTGAAACGCGGCTCCCATCTGTGCCCCTTCGATATAAGAATGACCCACCAACCATGTCACCAAACCTGAAACGAAAGTAATTAGCGACACGGCATAGCCCCAAACACAAACCCATACGTCCATAGCCATTAAACCAAATAGACTGGCCTGAAACAGGACTTAAACCGTACTGACTCCCACCTGCCTAAACGTTTCCCTAGGTCCTCATTTAAAACCAGGTGGGGTGCCTCTGTTACCGCCATCACCTGGGAAGAATGGGTCCCAAAGTGCCCGGGATCCAAACCCAACATTGTCAAACACCTGCGGGAATTGAATCGTGACAGCACCGATCTGTCCCCTTTTACCAGTAAGCCACCCGGGATGTCCGGGCAAAGCTCCAAGTAGCATGATGCGCTTAACACCGGGCGTACCCGTGACCCTGGCAGGGAATATAGCTTTACCAAACCTCCTTTACCAGACACATTCGTTCTTGAACAACCCTACTGAATCGTTACCTTAACCGACTAAGGTTCGACAACCAAGTGTAGAACTCCCCAACACCTGCCCGAAGGCACTCACCAGTTCCCCAATCCAAATTGCCCCAAGCCTCCGAAAAGGCCACCGCAAGCAAACTCACTGCAAAAGTAGGGTAATACACCACCAGGCGTTGCGTTACCCAAGGAAACCCGCCACCGACATATTTCATATCTCTCCGTAAGATCTCTCCCAATTGTGTGCACCAAGTCTTTCAGCTTGCGCAACTTGTCCTGTGGTAATCTACATTCCCCGATCTCCGAATCGATCTCCAAACCCAGAAAACTAAGACACGTGGCGGGTCCCACGGTCTTGTCCTCCGCCAAAGGAACCCCCATCGTCTGCGCTACCCATTGGAACACCCGTAGTATCTGCTTGCACCAGTCTGAGCCTCGAGGGCCGACACATAAGAAGTCGTCCAGGTAATGCACAACCGTGCCCCCCTCCGATTCCCGTCGCACTACCCATTCCAGAAAAGTGCTAAACTTCTCGAAATAGGCGCACGAGATGGAACAACCCATCGGCAAGCACAGATTCACAAAGAAGCCCCCTTCAAAACAACACCCCAAGGGGTGATGACATGACGGGTGTATGGGAAGCAGCCGAAACGCTGCCTCCACGTCCCCCTTCGCCATCAGCGCTCCCCGCCCAGCTCTCCGTACCAACTCGACTGCCCTGTCAAATGATGTGTAAGATACTGAACAGAGTGCTGCGTCGATGTCATCATTCACCGATGACCCTTTAGGATACGATAAATGATGAATCAACCTAAACTTGCCAGCCTCTTTTTTGGGGACCACTCCAAGTGGGGATATCCGCAACTCCGCTATAGGAGGATACGGGAACGGCCCCGCCATCCTCCCCAAAAGGACCTCTTTGGCCATCTTTTCCCGCACTACCTCCGGGCGTTCCCGCACAGATTTAAGATTGGCACAAACCGCCCCTGGTTCCTTAACCGTGAAGGGGATCACGAAGCACTCCCTAAAACCCCGCCACAGGAACGCTGCATCCTCCTGGTTAGCGTATTGCCTTAGCCAAGGCAACATCGCTCCTA